TTTTTGATTTCATGATAACTTCGGGTTTGTTCGTGTTTGGCGAATTGCTAGTCTAATTCGATTGGAATCGAGGCTGATATTACAGAGTTTTGTTCTCGACGAATATAGACCGAGGACTCAATTCCGTCGGTATGTGCATCAAATTGCTATCAAAATGCTCGGGACATATGTGCTCGGGTATCATGTATGCCCGGGATAATAGCCCGAAGATTTATTACACAATCATTCGACATGTCCTCAGGACTATGTCCTCGGGATTATGACCTACGCCAGCGCCTTGTCCGACGAGAGATTTATTCTGACTAAATATCCTTAATTTATGTCTCCTATGCCCAGAAGAACTCTATTGGTATCACAATTATACCACAATTCAATCTCCTATCTCGCGTAGGACTCATTGATATAAAATTGCAAAATCAAGCTATCCTACTACAGGTGCAATGCGGAATCCTGATATGAACACACTACCTACCCCTATAAATACAGGACCTTGAACCATTATTCAGGTACGTTTTACATTGTTCTTCAGCACATAGCCTCACGCATATATTTCCCTTTCTGACTTAAGTATCGGAGGGGCGACGAGAACACACCTCGTTGCCTTTGTTTCAGGTATCGGAAGATCACGTTCGTGCTCCTCACCAGTCATCAAGCTCGAAAAATCAGCAGGTACGATTTTTGGTAGCATCATTGGCGCCGTCTATGGGAATCGCTACCAAAACCCATGGTAAACACACGATCAGGTCTTCCACCCGCAAGCTCATCCGCTCCAAACCAACCCCCTCCTGAGGATATCCCTGTTCCTCAAGAGGAATCATCAGAAGTGCCAGATCCCCAGCCGGCAGTCATCACTACTGGAGCCTTTGAAGAGCTCAGACAACAGGTCGCCACACTGACTCAGCTACTAAGTCAAAGAAATTCGCATCCATCACCCACACCGGCACCCCAGGGGGGTTTTATGGCTGATGCTCGAGCTCGAGCTCATGTCCCTGACAATGGCGGAGCAGGGGCCTCGGGTATACCACATGTGACCTCGGCCTCGAGATCAGTGACCATGGAGTCCGGGGAACTCGCTAGGATTATTCAAGAAGGAATTGCGACGGGCCTACTTCAGGGCAATAAAGGGACGACAAGATTCAGTCCCAATACTCCATTTACTCCCGAGATATTAACATTCCCCTTGCCGGACAGATTTAAGTATCCTAGGATCAAAGAGTATGATGGGACCACCGATCCAATCAATCATCTGAACATATACACGGACGTCATGAATCTACAGGATGCACCAGATCAGGTGATGTGCAAGGCCTTCCCGCAAACCTTGACGAATGCCGCTAGGGATTGGTTCTCAACCTTAGAGTCCAACTCCATAGCCTCATTCTCGGATTTGGCGGACAAGTTCTCCGCTTTCTTCGCAAGCAGCAAACGCATCAGGAAGACAGCGGCTTCCCTCATGCAACTTAGACAGGGGCAAAATGAGACACTACGTGACTTCATGACCAGGTTCAACAAGGAAAGACTTCAGATTCCCGACCTACACATAACTGCAGCGGTTTCTGCCCTCACATATGCCATAAAGTGTGAGGCCTTCAGGATGTCTTTATCCAAAACTCCGCCAAAGACAGTGACCGAGCTTCTTACCCGAGCCGAGAAGTACATAAATATGGAGGAAACACTGAACCCGAGAAAGGTTGGACCATCCCATGACAGGGTCGAGCATAAAAGACAGCACGACCCCAACCCCCGTGAAGAACAGCATCGGAAAAAACAGAGGCAGGAGGTTCCCCCGACGCCGTTCACGCGTTTAAATACGTCAAAGACCAATATATTGATGGAGATAAAGGATATGAAGGAACTGAAATGGCCTGTCAGAATGAGGTCACCACCCGAATCCAGGGACATGAACAAGTACTGTGAGTTCCATCGGGATCACGGGCATACCACGGAGAACTGTAAGGCCCTGCAACGGGAGATTGAAGCCCTTATTAAAAGAGGACTCCTGAGCTCCTACGTCGGTAACGACAAACGCCCGAGGAATGATCGTGGCAGGGAAAAAGACCCTGAGGCAAAAAGGGATGGTCAACCTACTGCTGGAACCATCAATATCATCATTGGAGGTATTGCCTCGGGAGGAGACTCCAACAGTGGAAGAAAACAATATGCCCGACGATATGCCTTGGCCTCTGGGATGCCTCAGGGAAAGCTGGAGGATATTACTTTTGGAACCGGAGACCTAGAAGGCGTATCACTTCCACATGATGACGCGTTGGTAATCTCAGCGATTGTGGCCAATTTCGAAGTAAAGAGGATCTTGGTTGACAACGGGAGTGCGGCCAATATACTTTCACAAGAAGCTTTTGCCAAAATGGGAATCTCATCTCAGCA